TTTCGGTCCTTTTCATGATCCCCGACTTTGCGTATTAGTTCAAAGTTCTTTCGGTCCTTTTTATGATCCTCGACTTTGCGTATTAGCTCTAAGTTCTTTCGGTCCTTTTTATGATCTCCGACTTTGCGTATTAGCTCTAAGTTCTTACGGTCCTTTTTATGATCCCCGACTTTGCGTATTAGCTCTAAGTTCTTTCGGTCCTTTTTATGATCCCCGACTCTGCGTATTAGCTCTAAGTTCTTTCGGTCCTTTTTATGATCCCCGACTCTGCGTATTAGCTCTAAGTTCTTTCGGTCCTTTTTATGATCCCCGACTTTCCGTATTAGCTCTAAGTTCTTTCGGTCCTTTTTATGATCCCCAACTTTGTGTATTAGCTCTAAGTTCTTTCGGTCCTTTTTATGATCTCCGACTTTGCGTATTAGCTCTAAGTTCTTACGGTCCTTTTTATGATCCCTGACTTTGCGTATTAGCTCTAAGTTCTTTCGGTCTTTTTTATGATCCCCGACTTTACGTATTAGCTCTAAGTTCTTTCGGTCTTTTTTATGATCCCCGACTTTACGTATTAGCTCTAAGTTCTTTCGGACCTTTTTATGATCCCCGACTTTGAGTATTAGCTCTAAGTTCTTTTGGTCCTTTTTATGATCCCCGACTTTGCGTATTAGCTCTAAGTTCTTTCGGTCTTTTTTATGATCCTCGACTTTTCGTATTAGCTCTAAGTTCTTTCGGTCCTTTTTATGATACTCGACTTTGCGTATTAGCTCTAAGTTCTTTCGGTCCTTTTTATGATCCTCGACTTTGCGTATTAGATCTAAGTTCTAACTTTTTGTGTATTTTTTTGTTTATTCTTGTGTATTTTCGTTTTTTGTGTATTTTTCTGTTTTTGTTTATTTTTGTGTATTTGTGTATTAGTTCTAACTTTGTGTATATTTGTCTAACTCTGTGTATTTTTGTGTATTAGATATTTTTTAGGTTTTAAAGAAAAACAAAAACAAAAACAAGAAAGAAAGAGAAATACCTCGTTGAAGCGAAGACAAGCTTCCCAAGGATTAGAATCGAAACAAAATATCCCTAAAACATTAAGTAAAATATAAAACGATTAGTAAACTGGTAAACCTAACCAATCAACAAACAAAAGTTACAAGCATCCCTCAACATGTTATTGTTTAGATTCATATTAAGATTTGATATAAAGAGTCAACAATAAAAATCAACTTTTGCAATCCAAAAATCTCTAATCTTAGAGCATAACTACCTAAACCTATCAAGCTATCAACATCTTTGCAATTAGACTCGATGATGAATCTGTAGCCTCTCAAATCTCAATGATCATTACGAATAGAAAACAGTCTTGAGAACTACCAAACTGGAGATATTTACAAGTCAATCAAAAGTGAGGAGAAGAAGTACCTTCAAACGGATCTGTTTTGTCTTCTCAACAGATTATTAGACATACCCAGAAACATCATGCTTCCATCTTTTGTTTGAGAAATGTCCTGTCAAAGAAGCATGACAATATTTTAAAGCAGATAATACAACAAAAACTAAGAAGCGAATACACAGTTTAGCACACCAATACCTTAATAATTGCAACAGATGGTTTTTGACTTTTTTCCTCAGGAACCAATAGCACCGGATCCTCCTACACAAAAAGTGACTATAAGAGAGACTAGAAGCAAATGTTCTCTAAGGTCTCAAGCATTAAGTCAACCAAACACTATATGAATACTCCTGACAAACGTGTATATGATCATCCTAAACATTCAGGTGCAAGAAAAATCATGAAGTAAAAGAAAAACTTTCAAAGTCTCTAGAAACTAGTAATCTTAACTCCAAAAACGAAAGAGAAACATTCATCTTAACACATGCATGAGTGACCAACAAAGAAAAACAAACTGGAATTAAGAACCAAAAAACTTAATCAATATAACCAAACATAAAAGGCTTTAAAACACACTTGATTATGCAGAATAACAGAAACAGCAGCCAAGGTATATATTATAATGTACCTTTGCAATTTGATTGCCATTGATCACGTATTTGGCGTCTTCAGTGTTTGGACCCGTTTATTGGGCCAACCTTGATTATGTTTCAATCTTCTCTGACCCGTTTCCTTGATGCTGAAGCAGATTCAGTCCGGTCATCTGTTCGTGTTTCGAGACCATATTCGACTTCTGCAGATGTGGTGTTACATTGCTTTGGTGATTCTTCTGGAGAAGAGCTCTTGTTCTCTTGTATCTGCCCTGTTTTTCAATATGTAGCTGCAGTGTCCGTTGGATCTAGCATATAAAGAAAACAACATAAGATAATGTTCATAATATCTATGACAAGTCCTCTTTCAAAGCTAGAAATCAGGTAAAGAAGGGTGTTCTTTTTTAGTGGTTACCTCGAGCTGCTCATGGAGACGTTTCTGAACTTCCATCTGTAACCTTAGAGCTTGTGTGAACTCAACGCTCCTGGAAACGAATTAGTAACAAAATAAATTTAACACTATTAGGAAGAAAAAATCATGTGCAGTCAGGAAAGTGAATTTTCTTACGTTTTCATATCAAGAGATTTGATATCTTCCATAGATGTCATCTTCTTCTCTTGAGGTTCTCCTGTGGAAGAAAGAGACAAAATTTAGACAAAGTATGTGCCCCTTTGTAAGGTGTACGCATTCGAGACTTTAGCTTAATCTAGAAAGTGACAATTCTTTAAAGGGCTATGTGGTTTATAGCTCAGCAAAAGTGCAGAAGTACTATGTTAAAGAATATGAAGTCCTTACCTGTAACTTCTGAAGTCTCTGGTTTATACCTTGCCGTTCGGTATTTCTGCAAAACATAAAGATTATAAAAAATGAGAGATGGGCTAAGCTTAGCAAAGAAACAGCATGAGATGCATAAGCTAAAAAACATATGGGTTTGGACATACCTGCAGATGGCTTTTTACATGATAAATGGTCAAGCCATGGTTATTCAAGAGCTTCAAAACAGCTTTGGGCGTGGTTCCTACAGTGGGAATTATAAAAGGCAGTAAAAGAATAATTACAACTGTTTCCAGTTAAACGGGCTCTAGCTATTATTTTCAGGAACGAGAGAAGAAGAAAGCATACGCACGTTCACTACCACCGAGCTGATTAACAGCTTCAACAAATGCCTCGTGAAGTTCTGGTGTCCAACGCATGCATTGTTTAGATGTTGCTACGCTAGATGATGAGTTTGTGCCACTGAGCTGCTCCTCTGACAAAACCATCTGATGCTGCTAGTTAGCTTTCATCTCTTGCCTTGGTACATTAGAAAATGGTGTCGGTATCTGTTAGAAATTATGCAAAACGCTGATTAAATGAGAAATGAACAACCATAGAGGTCATACGTGGCTACAAACAGAGTTGTGAAGGTGAATTCTCTGATTTTCTGACATAGTGAAGGTGAAGCTTGAAGATGCTTGTTGAAGCTGAGAATCCATGTAATTCTTTAGCTGAAACAAGAAGTAAAAGAAGAAGCCAAGGTTAGAGAAAAACCAAAGTGGGGGTGAACAAAGGGAAGAGATGTTACAGCCCTGAAACAGAATACTCATGAGGTTAGTGTGTATTAAACCAGTGTTTAAAGATCAACAAAACTCAAATTCAAAAAGGATGGATTGAGAAAGAAGGTTGAGGCTGAGAACAAACCATATGAAGCATTAAACCATGAGGGAGAATTTTGTGGCTGAAGCAGGAAAAGAGAAGCCCTAAATCCGGACTAAGGCTGAGAGCGACAGAGGTTCAAAAGCTGAAAATGGAGAGACCAAGGTTAGAGAAACCAAGGTATAGTTCAAAGAATAAAAAAGACAAGGTTAGCAAACTAAGGTGATGGTCAGAGAACCAAAAAGTCTTTGGTTAAGAAAGCCATGGTGATGATTCAAAGAGCTAAAGGGCACAAACTAGATGTTGGAGAAACAGGGATTAAAGCGGAAACCAAATACAACAAAACAAGAGGAAGCTCACCACAGAGAGAGCTGTAGCCGGTTGCACAGAGTGCCGAAGAAGACGTGAACAAGTGTCACGCACGAGATGGTGATCGAAGAGGACACCAAACATAAAAGAGGAAGCTCACCACAGAGGGAGGTTAAACCGGTTGCACAGTGCGCCGAAGAAGACGTGAACATGAGTCACGCACAAGACTTCAAGAAAGTGAGGGAGAGCTCATGGAAAAGCTTGGAGCAGATGTAAGGACAGAGATTAAGCCACAAGGCTAAACTGGTTCCTACAAGAAAAGGGGTTGATCAAACAATTGATCAAAGAAGAAACAGAGGAGAAAGCGAAGGAAATATGTCAAAGAGGTGACAAAGAAATTCGCAAACAGAACAAGAGTATGCTCACCTTAGAGGGGGCTGAAGCTAGTTGAAGCAACTGGTAGATATGGAGAAGACTTGGAGGTGACATGGAGAAATCTCAGGGAATAGCAAACCTGGAGTCAACGTGTTACCTACAAGGAAAGTAAATTGGTCAAGGACTAATCCAGGGAACAATGAAGAAATTGCGAAGAGAACCAGCCAAGAGATAGGCACAGATATTCGCAAAGAAGAAACTGGAAAATCAAAGAGTTTCAGTTTAAGAGGAAGATCAAAGAGCTTGCTTGCTCTTGAGCTATGTAGGCATCGTGAAAGACCCAATGGTGATGTCGATCAAGAAGGCTCGAGAAACAAAAGTAAAGCAAAGCAAAAGAGGTAAAGAGATTACCCATCAATGGTGAATCAAATGTCACCAAGGAAGGCACAGAGGGCATGAGAAATGATACAGAGAGATTCCACCACCCCAAGCGCCTGCAGAGAAAGAAACGATCGATTAAGGAGAATCAATTCAAGAGGGAGATGAAGAAGAACTTCACGAGGAAAAAAGAACATTGATACAAGAAGAGGGAGATTGATGGAACAAACTTACATGTGATGTTCGTTGATGTCGTGAAGAAGAAACTCGTCACGAGAGGAGGCGGATTCACCAGCGAAGAACAAGAGGCATGGGAAGCTCATGAAGAATGAGATGATGAGGGAGAAAGCAAGCTTGAGATGAGCTGTGCCAATGTCGTGAAAGAGATTCACGAACCAACCGAGAAGAAGAAGGAGCGTCGGGGGACTTGGGATCAAATCCCTAAATTGGATTTTGGGGATTAAGCAAATGAATCAAGAGGGAGTGTTGGAAGTTGATTCATAACTTAATCGTACAAAAAGAGAAACATGGAAGCTAGTAAGGTGAAGATGTGGAGCAGAGAAGAAAAGCTTAGAAGCATAAGCAAGACGAAGAAGAGTGGTCGTCGGAAGAAGAAGAAGAAAGAAGAGAAAGGCCTTTTGGACCAGAAGTAAGCAAAGACCCATATATGTAAATGTGGTTAAGTTGTATAGTAATTAGGTTAAGAGTAAAACCTAAGTATAAAATGTTGTAATGATCCAAGATTAACAATGTAGCCTTTAGAGTAAAAAGACTTCTTGTTTCATCTCTAACAAAAAAAACCAAATCTATATAACAAAGAAGATTAAAAGCACAAAATGAATCAAAAGACAAAACACGAATTGGAGCGTAAGTTAGCTTCAAACAACTGAAATTATAAGACCAATTTTTAACAAATTCTTCTGTTCAAAATACCATAAAAATCAAAATTATCCACAAGTATAAACCTAATAAGCAGCACATCTATATCTCCTACATTATCTTAGGTTCTTCATAAACACTAACCGTAAAAAAAACAGTAAACCCAAAGCCTTAACACATTCTAATGTCACACAAACATAAAAACTCTTTAAAACGCTAGATCTCAATATCCACAACAACCTAATAACAACAATCAATAGAACAAAGTGCTCTTGAATACTCAAATTAGGTATCAAATCTCAATGCCATCACAACACTCAAACCCAAAATTCATCAAAAACTCAACCAAAAATCAGAACCCTACAAATAATTACTCGAGTATTTAACCCGATAACTTAACCGAAGTAAAGTATATGCGGGATCGATCACAAGGAGCAATGGTACACTAAAGACTTGCGAGACTCGTTCTTAGCTAAAGCGGAAAGAGTTTTTGTTTGGTTTTTTTCAGTTTGTAAATAAAAAATACAAAAATAAACTGTGATTAAACTTATAAATTAAAGACATTGGGCATTAGGGTATTTTCAGAGATTCAATGAATAACAAATAAAAGCAATAGGGAATTCAAACTTGAAGAACCGTTATTGAACATGAACAGAAATTTAGACTAATTCTCTCTCAAGACATTAATCACTAAATTTAACTATTCAATTACTAAACTATCATTTGTAATTTCCTAGCCAAATTCGCATTATCAAACAGGTTCATTTGGTTCACAAAGCATTCTAACATCAACTCTCGCAGGTTATAAATACAATGCTCAATTTACGTTCATTCAGGCATTTTATCGAACATCTCTGAAACAAATAAAAGCCTAAGCTCTAAAACAGGGTGATCAATCCTATTATAGCATTGAGAACATCTAAATTGAAGAACCTAAAGATTTAAGAATTCCCTAAGACATCTAATCTATCAAATCATTGAATTCTCCTACTTAGAACCCTAAAACCCAATTGAAGAACTACTCACACATGTTGCAGAGAATAACACAAAAGGATATGAAAGAAAACTTGATTGAATATATTAAAATAAGAATAGGGTTTAGAAATCTTCTCCAAATTGTCAAAGAGGATGGATTCTTCTCCCCAAAATTGTTTTAAGGGCAAAGAACAATGTTTAGAACTCAAAAATATGAAGGATGGCTGCTAAAAAGTCGAGCCTAGGGTATAAAAACAATAGGAGACGATTTGGGTCGGTTCTGAAGTGTTTCGGATCGAATATGGGCCAAAAAATGCGTCAGAGGTAAGGGACCGATCGATCTATATGTTAGACCGATCGGTCTAATGCTCCCAGGTTTTACTTCTGCATCAGCTTCAACAACTCGTCAGAATGACATGTCTTCACGAAATCGGGTGTAACTCGTGAATTCACTGTTAGATTTCCTTGAAATTACTTGCAAATGAAAGCTAACATCTCTCTTCATCTTGTGTCAAAATATGAGAAAGATCTAACAGTGGAAAATGTTCATCGGATCCCAAACTTTTGACACTTCTACATGAATCTACATCTCCAAATATGTGTTTGCATCCCAAAACATGTCGTTTTATTCCAAAGCAACCTAAAACCTGTGAAGACTCAACAATAGACTAAAAGACTCTAAAAACACACTTTGATTCAATAAAAGTTATAAAATGAAAGAGAAAAGAAAGAATTAAAACCGATAAAAACACAATATATCAACTCCCCCGACTTAGATTCTTGCTTGTCATCAAGTAAAACAAAAATCTTAACCAAGAGAAGAGGTTTGAAAACGCGAGAACTCACATATTCTTTAAAGATCATGCTCTTAATCAATTGCTTGCAAACCATTATCACAAAGTTCATATCAAACCGTACAATAATGTACTTCACCATGACATCATGAGACCCCTAAATCACAAAGAACTTTAGAATCAAATAACTTAACCTTTTAACATTCATTAACAGTTGCATGCACTCTCACAAAGGGGATATCGAACACGTTATGGTCTAGGTGTAAAGGCAGTTTTAGGTGGCTCAAGTGTTTAAGGTTCAACAATAATATAAGAACGGATGCAAATCATTATGCAAAATCACAGTGAGACACAGACCAATTGGGAGGTACATAACTTCCCTCTAACTCGGATCACCTTAACCAAATCAAACCCCAAACAAATCATAAGTATTGTAGATGCTTTTCGAATACAACCAAAGACATATCGACTTTTCCGGTTCCATTCTTTCTCCTTTCCCGTTCTTTTCTCTTTTCTTTTCTTTTCTTTTCTTTTCTTTTTCTTTTTGTTAGCATTTTTTTCATATTTTTTTTTAACGGGGGAGTGGAACCGGTTCTCGTCTCACAAACTGCATCAACAAAACTCAATCATGATCGCTCACAGCAGATGCTCATAAAATGACAATATAACCACAAGAACTCAATGTCAATCACCCCAAACAACTACAATTACAATCCTAGCTATAGGAAAGCTATGTCGGTTTGTATACTCCGTAGTTTTTGCACATGAATGCACATGATGACAATGACACAAGAATGCATGTAGTATGAAGCATGGATATGGTTAAAGGTGTGGTACTAGACTAAAGATGAGTCTAGTCTTTAGTCTAGCCATTCAGAGTTTACAAATAGTGTTAAAATAACGCGGATTAAACTTTGAATGTATGCTCCATTACATGATTACCAACCCCCTAAGTGAGATATAATAAGTCCATAGTAAGTTCAAATAAGCAAGGTTAAGCTCAAATCATCCAAATTTTTAAGTGAGGGATTATACGAGTGATCTAGTCATGAATTTTCCAAAAGTTCCAAGTTATCCTTAAACAATGCTAAATGGTCACAAGGCAATGAAATCAAGCAAGGTGCAATTCCCTAAGAAAAGCTCATAGTTCTCAAACAAATTTTTGACTCAATAAAACAGACACGATTTGACTCAATAAAACAAACTGACACACTCAAGAAAACATCGAAATAAAAAATAAGAAAAAGCAAATTGCATCAGTAGACTAGTGACATTCTTCCCCAGACTTGCTTCACACCGTCTCGGTGTGAGAACAATTCTAAAAGAAAACGTCACAACCAAAAAGCAAAAATAAATGAAGATGTAAAAAAGAAGAATGAAACTAAGAAAACTGACCTGGGACATCTAGTGGGTTGCCTCCCACAAAGCGCTTATTTTTTGTCTTTATCTTGACCGCTCAACACAAAATATTAATCATAAGAATCAAAAGGTTGAGCCAATGCACCTTTAGTCCTTCTCCTGTTACGGCACACAACAATATGCACAAAGTAACACACAATTATCCATGATAAGCAAAATAACCATAAACTAAATTTACTACAAGTGTAGCATATATCTTGAAATCTTCTTTGATTGTATAATGCTCATGAGGATCAAATGCATTTGGTGGAAATATAAAATCAATCTCAGGTCTTAATGAGGTTTTAACAAAATAGTCAACTTCATCCCCATTAATTTCATATAGCACAATATTTCCATCCATATAATCAACCTCAAGATCCCCAGTCTCATCCAAGATGTTATCAATATCACACACAACTCCTAAATAAGATTATGCTAGAAGAGATCTAGATATTTCAGGCATTGAAAACTTAAACTTGAGATCATGAACATTCAAAGCACAATGATATTCAATATCAAAACATATCTCATGGTAATCTCTAGCAAGTTTTTCTGCTCTTAAAGTATCTATTTGTTGAGACTCACCTATCAAATCATAACATTCACTGATAATCTTGGGAGTATGCAAACTAGAAGCAACATCTTCAATGCAAGGCATAGAAAAATCCTCAAAATCATGAATTTCAAGGGTTGAAACGCATGTACCTTCTATGTCGCTCGGTGGAACCCAATATTGATTAAGTTTCATGAGGGCAAGTTGGATGTA